TGTTTGGCAGACATATGTGAAAGATTCTCTTTCATCTGCTGACTAGAGAGATCATTGGTTTGTTTGCTTTTCAAAAGGAAGACGATTCATCTACAGAGTAATGGCTTATTTTGTTCTCAAAGGAAGCTGCTTCTTACCAGAAAGCTATTAGAGCAAATCATCCCTTAATAATGTGAAAACCTGCTGTGGGGTTGTTAGACTTGTGTTTATGGTCCGACAATTCCTGCTAATTAAAATGATTTTGGTTATAATAAGAGCAATGTGAGTAGCATTATTTGCTTGGTTTTTAAAAGAATCCCAAGATCTACAGGAGATAAGACAAAAGGAGAAGAGGGTACATGCTATCTAACTTGAGGGTGAACATCTTTAAAGTCTACATGCAAGTTAAAGTCAGTGTTTCAGATCAAATGATATGAAAACGGGATTCCTGAAGATGATAGTGAACAGAACGGCTATTTCACAGAACGTCCTCAGGCTTCAAGCTCAAGTACAATTTAAGCATCCACACTGACGGTTTCAGACCATTGCAAATGCCCTGCCCTACCTATTCACATTAGAATGTGGGGATCGCTGGCCTTTCCTCCTTGTAAAAAGCGGCCACTCCACCAAATCAGTAGATTTTTACCCCCTCCACCCCCACCACTATTCATTTTCCCATCTTCTGCTTATTAAGTATATCAGTACATTAGTCAGTCAATCAATCCTCTTTCCAAGATAACAGATATAAGTACGAAGTGTACTTGGAGTAAGCAGGGGGTTCATAAAGTGCAATGGGCTCTTACTTGGATATTCACAACGTCATTCCTTTGCTGGGATCCAACACCAGACACACTTCCTTCTTTGTGGGTTCAATTCTGATGAGTGTGCTTCCCAAGGAGGTGAAGTAGATGTGGATGAGTACAAGTGTGTCTCAGAAATGCAAGCGTGGTGTGCCCAGAATGTCAAAACTGATTGTGATAACTAATATTCAGACATTTTAAAGAAGCTTAGTAAATTCTAGATAGATTCTTTTGTGAACAATCTTTTTCCAATAGTCACACCCTTTTAATCATCACTTGAAATAAAGTATCTATTTGTTTCTCTTTGTTCTTACCATAAACTGGAAACACTTAAGCTTAACCACAAGTTAAAAACCTAGGTAACCCTTAACAAAAAAGAAATTTATATTAACCTTCTTGTGCATAATTTCTCAGGACAGAAACAATGCATTTTGCCTCCTTACCTACATATCTCAGACTGTTTTCCCATGTGTAAAGCAATTTAAAATTTAAAATGAGAAAAAGTATCCTATAAAAATTAGTCAGAAAATTTAGTCAATGTGGTAATCTGTTATATATTTTTGTTTTGAGAATGATGATGGCAACAATTGTGCTTAACGATGGGTGTGTGGATGGTGATAAGAGTTGTCGAGCCCCAAATAAAAAGATTTTTTTTAATTAGTCATAAAATTTAATAAATGTGGTAATCTGTTACATATTTTTATATATTTTTTCAGTTAGACAAACTGTCATCCATTGGCAGTTAAGGAACAAACAATTATGGAAAGTAGCAAATAATTGTGACTCAGTGGTAGTAACACCCTCAAGTTATCAGC